TCCCAAAGATTTAGAGCATACTAAAAAGAATCGTCAAGCCTATATCGAGAAATCCGATTGTGAAATTTCTAAACTTCAAGATGCAGTCCAGTTGGCATGGGTAGAGTAGTACCATATAGCTCAGGAGCTTGAGAAATCAATGAGTGATTTGGATGCTTTTCGCAATCAAGTGGAAAATAGTGAAACAAAACTTGTCGTTGTAGAGTCCAATCTTGTTGAAGCCAACGGTCATGAAGACAAATTATTGAAGATGCAATGCAGGAAGAGGGAAATAAGGTGCTTGATTATAATGAAATATAATCTTTTTGGAGGCTCGAGAAATAGAAGTTGATGACGCTCTCCCCGTCACTCTTATTTGAGCCTTCTCAACCTACGAACCCTTCGGCTACTATTTCATCTATTACTATTATAGGGCTACCTTCAGTTTCTAATGTTACTTCCTCCCCTCATGAAGTGAATCCAGTCAATGAGGGCGCTTCGCAATTGGTAGATAAGGACTCGCCATTTTCACAATTTTCATAATTGGCGGATAAAGTCCCACCGTTAACTGGAATTTTGTCACGTACGAAAAGAGACTCGGCTTTCTCTAAATTTATTTACTTATCAGAATCAGCTTTACCCATGCGACCCCATTCATGCTTTTGATTCACTTCAGCAATCATATGATCAAAATTTGACCAATACTTGTAGTAATATCCTTGCTGGTAGGAGAGTTTTTCCGCCCTTCAACTTTCACAGCTTCAAATTTATGCTTTTTGAAATGAGGGTTCCGAAATTTTCCTCCCAAATTTTCAATTGCCATTGCTGCGTTTACAATTGGGGTTCACGGAAATGGTATTCTTGGTGAACCAAGTTAACATTCGTGCACAACAACTTGATTCCTTTAACGCTAGCTTAGCTACCCCTTTGAAGTTTGAAACTTGATACAGAAGTGGTGTATTGATGTTACTGCTTTCAATTGTTTCAGAATAGGTCTACTTAAGATACCGTTGCAAGTATATCTACTATCTACGACCAGCAAATTCATTTATTTTTGGAATATTACAGGCTCCTCTTCTAGCTTTACTGTGTCAAGATAATTTTGCCCTCGTGGGACTAAACTGTCACCTGTGAGACCACATAAAAGTTCAATCATGGGTACCTAGTGTAGTCAACCTGCATGTGGTCAAATGCACTTTCGAATAAAATGTTCATGGAACTCCCATTATCCACAAGCATATGACTAAAACCATTATGAATTATTACTGACCGTACTATCCGTATGATTCCCTTTTTATCATCATCATTGAATATAATCAAGTTCTCCAGTATATGTCTTTTAGCATCTAACGCAAAATTTATCTATACATTCATCGCCTACCTGTCAATGTGGGGACCACCAATGATGGTGTTTATCTCCCTCATCAGAGGTTCACGGTTGAGGACATTTAAAGATGTATGAGAGGTCCTACGTAGCTTGCCCTTAACCATCAACCCCGTCCTCTTTGGCTCGTATAAGTAGGCTTCCAATTTTCAGTGACTTCGCGTACTCGTCCCTTTGGCTTATTAACTTTACAATTTTTAAGTACTTCAAAACATTCTTTCATTTCATGGTCCCTTGTGTTAAATGATAAAATTTCACATCGAATAATGATGAAAATATAGATCAATTTATAAGAGTTTTGGTTAATTCTCTTAATAAGGTTGACATTATAAGATGGAACCCAAATCTTAACATGATATCAGAGCCCGTTAAACTCCAACGAACAATTTGATTCGATTAAAACTCAAAAAAAATTGAGCATACGGATTTCAAGATTGGTCTGCTCAAACGAGACACCATCTTGCGAGGGCATATTAAATAATAAAATTTCACATCGAATAATGATGAAAATATAGACCAATTTATAAAATTTTAATTACTCCTATTAATAAGATTGACCTTTTAAGATGGAACCCCAAATCTTAACACCTTGTATGATGAATTTTGCAAAATTTTGGCTTGTGAACCTCGAGAGATAGGTGATATGCTTCAACGATTGCTTGCGATGGAGCGACGAGATTTCATGCATCCGTTCCTTGTGTTCATTGAAATAAAATTATTGCTGCTTTGCAATTTGGTCGCGTAAACCAAAGCAATTGCCTTATCTTTCAATTTCTCAGTGTGGCCTTGCTCTGTTTCCAATTTTCAATTAAATATTCTGTTGAATTTCATTTTGAATCAGATTTACTAGCTGACGTTACGTAGCTAAATTTTTGTTGCAAACATCCGAAAGGGTGTTTCCATCAATAATCCATTCTATAAGGCATCCTTTCTTTTCTATGATATGTGAAACCTCTACTATACAAGGGAACAGACTTGCCCTAGTCTTCTCATAGGAAATTGTTTCAAAAGCAATGAGTTCAATGTTAAACTGTACAAAATAGCTTTTGAGAGACTCACGTTATCCTATCTCATGTCATTCAGTCTAGTGGCTGGCGCTTGCTTAGCCTACTTCCTATGAAAGCTCCCAGGAACTCTTGCCTTAATTGTGCCAACTTCGGATCAATCTTAGCGATAACTTACTGTACTATTGCAGGTCTATCTAATGTCTGATAGAATGTTTGGAATTTGAGTGTAGGACCAGCCTTTTTCAGCCTCATCCGTGTCATATAATAATATATATGGTACATCAAATCGCCTATTCTACCGTACTTCTTGGTTTTGGGATGGATGAAGTTGACAGGACTTTGAGTCTTTTTGATTTCCTTCGAGAATGACATGCTTTTATCGTCATCATCCATCTCATACGATCTTGTGGCTTATCCACATATTCCTCATAAAAAGTTGAGTTGCCAGTAGATGAGAACTTTGGCACCAAGTGCAATGAAAGGATACATTCAACTGCTTACATGCTAGTAAGCTTTCTTGAGAAATATGTAACGGATCATGTTTAGATTTGTAATAGAAATTGGCGAAAGTAGTTGAACGAAGTGTGAATATTGCCGCACTGATACAAAAGTCCAGTTCTAGACTCGAAAAATGACTTTCTTATAGTTTTTTTGTTTTTTCTCTTTCTTATGTTTATTTTTATTTTAAGTTAAACGGTAGAATTATCCTTTTATAGTATCTTTAACGGCAAAAAAAGATCGAAGTCATCAGGAATGACTATATGAGAGAATAAGTGAAAGGTTGATTTCTTATTTTAGATCTATTGCAGGGGTACCTATTGTTATGAAAAGGTCTTTGGTGGTGATTTTGGGATGGGAGGAATCATGGTTGGTGGGTGGCCGTCAGTGTGGTTGTGCTGTGTTGGGGTTGGTGGAAAGAAGACTTTTTTTTTTTTTTTTCCCGTCATTTTCTATCTTTCCCATTTTTCGATCATTTTTCATTTGTTATTGTTTTCTCCATTTTTCCCATTTTAAGTTTAAGTTAAGTGATATAATTGTCCTTTTATATGACCTTGAATGACGATATGAGAATAAATAAAAAGTCGATTTAAGTGTTTATAAGCAAATCCATTTAAAATGGTTTTAATAACAATTTTTAAAGCAGTCTATCCCATATTTGAGAGTTTATTATTTATCAGATCTGAAATTTTTTGAAAGAATAAAATTAAATATATATCATTTAGTGAAATTTTCAGTTTATAGTTCTTGTATAAAATTATATTATTCATAAGTGATATTTTACTTATAGGTAATTTTTTTTACATATAAGTTAATATTTACTTGAAATTTGAAGTTAATATTTTTATATATAAGTAAATTTTACAATTATAAAATATTTTATACTTTTATATAATTTTTACACAAGTAATTTTTTACTTATAAGTAACTTTTTATATTTTATTAGTGAATTTTTTTTAATTAATAGTTTTTTTCTTTATAAATAAAATTTTACACAAAATTGAATTTTATTTTAGAAGTAATATTTCACTTATAAGTAATTTTTTAATTACAATGTCATTTTTCCTTATAAATTAATAATATATTTTTCTTTACAAGTTAGTTTTGAACAAAATATGTTGATTGAGAATAATTATTTTATAAAAGATAAACTTGGAATAGACTATGAGAAATGGCAAAAAGATTGTCGCAAAAAATTGTCAACTTGAAGTTGATAGGTTGAGAGAAAATATCAAAATTACACTTATACCAATTTTGGATAATTTTCAAACCTTCCAAATCGGTGCCCAAAAAACTATCAAGTATCAATTTTTCCAATCCCTCATAAATGGTGCCACCTAAAATGATAAAAATCGACAAAAAAACTCGCAAACATGCCCTTAATGATTTTGACTTTTCAAGTTTATATTTTATTATTATTAGACGCGTAGAAATCAATTCAATACAATATTCAAAAGAAAGAAAAAATCCATAAATTTGGCTTCTAGACGGCTGCCAACAAAGACGAAGGATGCCAATAATAATAATCCACGTGTATGGGGATCTTTGGTTGGAACTTTGGCTTTCAAAGTGTTAAGACTTTCCTATCCCTCATGTTTTCTCAATATTCCATCTAAATCACAATATTCTAGTAACTCGAGAAAATTATAGATGTTGTATATAGACAATAGGTCCGTAACATTGAAAATATATATTAGTTATTGCATTATCAATATTAATAATTAATATTTACTTCACATCGCTAATATTTTTTCTTCTTATTAATTTCAACTAAAATTTTGAAGTTTAAAATATCATTCTTCACCGTCCTTCATAAATCATAAATATTTGTGTACAAACATCAATCTTATTATATATATTAAAAAAAATTCAACTATTTATATATATTTTGCTATAAATCTCTATTTGGTGAATTCAATTATGGAGAAAAAAAGTGCTCTTTTTCGTTAATACATTCTGATTCTGTTAACATTAAGTTTTTAACTCTAGAAATTTTACTAAGCAAACAGTAGAAAAAGCTTTCAAATCAATTTCGTGAATATGAGTAATTGTATGATTCAGTGCAAATCGGAGAGTGTATATGCATGCTACCGATTAAAGGTTGTGGATCGAATTTTCCGAGAAGAGTTAGAATGATAGTTGAAGTTTTTACGAGGTCCTAAACAAATGACTTTTACTTGTGAATTTATTGATTTTGCTTTGATTCAAATTGAGAGAGAGTAAAATAACCTATGTAGAAAGAAAATATGCTATAATTGTATTCATCCAGATAATAATTGATATAGTTGAAGTAACCAAAAACGACAGGGCAAATCAGTAAAGATCAAAGTTTTATTCCGAAGTTTGATTTTTGTTTTGGAGAAATGTAGGATATAACAATAATATTTCTTGTCCTTCTCATTCTAGAAAGAAAAGCAAATTGCACAATATTGAGACGGCAGAGGACCGTGTAGAAGGAAGTATTCTGAAATGTCTCTCTCGTGATGATTCGTTAAATTCCACATCTCATCCCCTTCTCCCTTCCAAAAGGCAGAAACCCTTTAATTTTCCCCGTAAATCACCTCTCCCACGTTCCAACAATTCTTGGTATTTCTCTTTATATTCTTATTAATGTTCTTTCCAAAGGTAGAATTTCATAATTTTTTTAACATTTTTTTTGCAATTCAGTTGACTGAAAAATCTAGAAACAGTGGAAAAGTCTGATGATAGTTGAGAAAAATTGAAACTTTTTTTTCCTTATTGATCTGTCTTTGGACATCGAGATTTGGGTTCTGGTAGAATCTTGAACTCTTTTTGGCTGATATTTTGATAAAGAAGGTAGAATTTTTGAAGTTTTTGTTACATGGGAAATTGTTGCGCAGCACCGCAGACTTTTGACGAGGATGTAAAGGGTAGGCATAAGTCGAAGCTGTCGAACCCCTTTGCTGTCGATCATGATGATCAAGCAATACCGAAAGGTGGATACAAATTAAAATCCCGGGTGTTAGAGAACCCAACTGGCCATGATATTGAGGAGTTCTATGAGTTGGGGCGTGAGCTCGGTCGGGGTGAATTTGGTGTCACATATTTATGTACTGATAAATCGAGTCGTGACGTTTTTGCTTGTAAATCTATATCAAAAAATAAGCTAAGGACTAGAGTGGATATCGACGATGTGAAGAGAGAGGTCGAGATCATGAAGCGTTTACCTAACCATCCCAATATCGTGAGCTTGAGGGATACTTATGAGGATAATAATGGAGTCCACTTAGTTATGGAGTTGTGTGAGGGTGGTGAATTATTTGATCGCATTGTTGCTCGGGGACATTATACCGAGAGGGCTGCTGCAGCTGTTACTCGCACAATTGTTGAAGTTATCCAGGTGAAGACTCGGTTTGCTTATAATTTGATCTTGTTTCGTGCTTTGAAGTCGTATCTGCATGTTCTGTTATTAGATTTGTCAATTCTACCGAGTATGCACTATAATTTACTAGCTTCGTACTTGAATGTTGTTCGAGAATCATTTTCTACATGGTGAATACATGTCGCCTACTATAAGTTGATTGAATTTTGTTATATTGGAGTATTTAGACTTTGCTCTAACAAAAAACCATTTTACAGTTATATTTTGGTTGTCTGCTCTTGTCAATTAAAAAATACGATAAGTTGCACCTAAGCTTATTGGAGTTTTGATGTTTTAAAAAAGTTAACAATGCATACGACTCTTTCTAAATAAATTTTAGCCAAATTTGAGACACCATAAAAACTTTGCACATCTTGGTTGTTAGGAGAGTCTAATTCATTGCATCACATTCCCCTTGCGAGAAGTTGATTTCATGCTTGTGACACACATATTTGTTGTATACATGTGCTACTAAACGTTCCAGACGGTAATTTAATGCTGACGTTTTTCTATTTGTTTATGTTGTGTGTAACAACATTGTTTACACATTGATTCGCACACCTTTTTATGATTGAACAATTATAGAAGGCCCAATTGGTTCTAAAAGTTTTCACACTGTCACTATTATGCGGTTTTTTCCGTTGCTAGGTGAGATTTCTTTCAAAGAAATTCATTTTAACCATATATTAGTTAGTAAAATTATCTTTGCGCTGCTGTGCAGATATGCCACGAGAATGGGGTCATGCATCGGGATCTTAAGCCTGAAAACTTCTTGTTTTCAAATAGGAAGGAAACATCTCCACTAAAGGCTATTGATTTTGGGCTCTCAGTGTTCTTCAAGCCCGGTAATGCTTTTTACAAATTCATTGCTTAGTAGCATCTGAGTAAATTATTGAGCATCACTCGATAATTTCCTGTGTAACGGATAGTCTATTTGTGATAGTACAGGCGAGAAATTCAATGAAATTGTAGGAAGTCCTTATTATATGGCCCCAGAGGTGCTGAAAAGAAACTATGGTCCAGGAGTTGACGTTTGGAGTGCTGGCATAATTCTCTACATCTTATTGTGCGGTATTCCACCATTTTGGGCAGGTCAGTTTCCTCTACATCTTAGTGATGGAAATTACAATTCAAAAAATACATAGTTATTCTATTTCTAAATTTAGAAAGTGACACTTCAACCAGTTGACAAACAATGGGGGGTATAATTGCATTTTCCTTTGTATGATAATTTTTATCTTGGATCTTTGTGTCGCATTCTTTGACATGAACTGTTTCTTGAATTGCAGAAACTGAGCAAGAAATTGCTGAAGCAATTATTCGGTCTGTTGTGGACTTTAAAAGGGACCCTTGGCCTAAAGTTTCTGATAAAGCAAAGGACCTCGTGAAGAAGATGCTAAACCCTGACCCGAAGCAGCGGCCTACAGCACAGGAAGTTCTTGGTAACATGCCGTCTATATGATAAAATGATGTGTCATGCCTTTTCTCTTAGTGAAATGCTTGAGTTCTAGTTTCGAATTCATTGCATCAATTTCGGAACCATTGATAAATGTGGCTACTGACTTGCAGATCATCCATGGTTACAAAATGCGAAGAGTGCTCCAAATGTTTCCCTTGGCGAAAGTGTGAGAGCAAGGCTCAAGCAATTTTCAATGATGAATAAGCTGAAGAAAAGAGCTTTAAGGGTAACATCACTTGTCTATATGAAGTACACAAGCATATGGACGCCTCTTCCATTCCTTGATGTATTTTTGAAGCTCATGATCTTGGGCATATGATATCTCGTGGCTAGAATATATTTACTAATTTGCTATATTGCATGGCAGGTGATGGCAGAGCATTTGTCAGTGGAGGAAGTAGCAGGCATAAAGGAAGGATTCCAAATGATGGACACGGGAAACAAGGGAAAGATTGACATTAATGAGTTGAGAACTGGGTTGTACAAACTTGGTCATCAGATCCCTGATGCAGATCTTCAGGTTCTTATGGAAGCGGTAAGCGCTCTATCTAGTTTGAAACTGTACTGATTAGAATCAAACCTTGTGAGGCTCAAGTATTTCAGGTTGTTGACCTGTGTCAAAGACTAGGGGCCTGTTTGGTTACCTCGAGCCAGTTTTCTTTAAAAGGCATTCTAATCGAGTAAAAAAGTTACCCAAATAGAAAAGCAAGTTTTGACTTTCCAAAAGTGTGCCAAAAAGGCCCTAAATATAACCAAGTTGTCCCACTTCAACAACTTAAGCTTTCGGACAATGTAGTTCAATGTGGCATCAAAGATGCCAAAAGGCCTGAGATCAAGTCTTGTCGCCATCTATTTATGAAAATTGTGCACTTGCTCTGACCTTTGATTAAAATTGAGTAGGACTATACATGTAAGATGTGTTGAAGTTATATAAATATGTTCTCCTCTCTAACACAGCTACAGCTATTAGATGGGGTAGTTTTATGCCTTTCGTTTGAATTTTTGATGGGCATTATGACAATATTTCTTTCAATGACTTCCCTGCAATTGTAATTGGCTGTTTTGTTTCATGTCTTATTATTAACATCTGCGTCTGTCAATAATTCAACCAATTTATACTTGGTGGTAGCTGTGATTTCTAAGCAATCTCACTACGACAACATTATTTTTCCTTTTGATGTTAACTACTATATTCATCTGTGTGCATATAGTGCCAAAATGTCTTGCTTGCTCCTAGTGCCATCAACTTAAAAATTTTCCTCATTTGATCACGTGAAGGTTATATGTTTTTCTTTTTACAGGGTGATTTGAACAAGGATGGATATCTTGACTGTGGAGAGTTCGTTGCAGTTTCCGTACACTTAAGGAAGATGAATAATGAGGACCATCTGTTCAAAGCCTTTGAGTTCTTCGATAGAAACCAAAGTGGATACATAGAGATCGAAGAGCTCAGGGATGCTTTCGCTGACGAGGCTGAGATTACCAGTGAAGAAGTTATCAATGCCATTATTCAAGACGTAGACATAGATAAGGTCAGTTATTCTATTATTGATTAAATGATTACGTGAAATGTACTAGACAGTATTAAAAAAGGGAAAAAACTAAAATGCACCAAACATGATCTTAATGATTGAATCTCTAATCTCTCTATTCCCATCCACGCTTTACCCAAATAAAGGATGTGATCGACGAAAAGTGAATGTGTCGTGTATGAAGGTATATCTTAATGGCTAAAATAATTAAAGAACAATTTCAGTACACGTCTCTAGAAATCCGAACTCTCATTCATGTTTGATCTAGTATTCTTCACTTGTTAAATTTTTTTAATAATAAGCACTCTTTGTTTGCATAAATTTGTTTATTTATTCTGCAGGATGGGCGCATAAGTTATGAGGAGTTTGCAACAATGATGAAAGCTGGCACAGATTGGAGAAAGGCATCAAGACAGTATTCACGAGAACGATATAATAGTCTCAGCCTGAAATTGATGAAGGATGCATCATTACACATGGAAACTTGAGTGTAGATAGTATATAAGACTATGAAAGACTTTTTGCTTCTGGCTTTGAAATTATTTTGTTGCTTTTTATTTCCTTTTTTATTTCTTGTTTTTTTATATTACTGCTGGTTTTGGCTCCCAGTGTTCATGTCTTTTATACCTTGTAATTGTGCTAATCGTTTGTTTGGAGGGGTCCAAGAAAATGTGAAACTTTTGTTCAAATGTAATAGAAGTTGGGAAAATTTGATTAGTACCTTGTGGTGTGCCTGAAACTCGAAATATACTGAATGATGTAATATTTATGAAAATTAACCTTGATTAAAAAAAAAAATAAGAGCGCAAGATTGGTAGCAATGAAATTTGGGCGTAATGGGAATTTTTATTTAAAAAAGAAAAGAATCCAAACGAGGCAAAAAAAAAAAGGCGTTTCAATCCTAACAATGATGTAAAGCATTTTGGGTTGCTGAAATTGTTGAGCCCAAATTAATGATGGCCCAGATTAATGATCCACATACTAGACCCGGCCCACTTACGTTGAATCCACTTGAAGCTTTTGGAATAGGGACGTGCTGTGTGTACTACGTACATAAATTATGTACACCAAAAATTTTCGTTTGGAATACTTACAGAAACACGACTTATTAACCAAATGACTAAATGTTGACACATGTTTCACTGGTGGCCGTTGGGTTTAATATGGGGGTTATTTGGGGGATTTATATAATTGGCTTGGTCAATTATGCTTTTTAAGTTAGAGTAATTATATTATCACTATAAAATTTACTTACTAAATCACATTATAATCACACCACAATTAAAATAATTTTTTAATAAATACACCACCACAATTTATATTTATAATCTCAATCCATAAAAACTTCTTTAAAAAAAAAAAAATACATTGTGGTGTACTCATCTTCTTCCCAGAGACAATTTCTTGCTGGATTCTTGAAAACAATGGTCTGATGATACATTGGTGCAGTGAATTTGGACTCCAAGAGAACATCACGCATCATCCTATAAACACGTCAAAGGTCACCATTTTTGTTTCCAATTCTCAAGTTTTCAGTCTATTGTGCCAGAACTTCAATGGGATCTCAACAAATCGAAACTAGTTAATGCTATACATTTGACTCTAAATATTTAAGAAATTTTTTTGGGAGTTCAAGGTTTAACGTTTCAAAAATCAAGGAAAATTAAGGCTTGGATTTTTTGGATCCGCCCATCGAAAATTTTCTGCAATTCATTTTCTTGGGTAAAATGGGGCTTCCTTCTTTGCTTCCAGATCTTCTACGTTAATTCGGCAGGTTGGCGGTGATTGAAGGCGGCCTAACGATGGAGCTCGAATGCCTCAGTGCCGACCTATCTGGATTCACTGTTCTAATTACTTGATTTTGGGAGGTGATTCATGGGATAAAAGACAGTGATTGTGGTGTCTTCATAAAAATGTTTATTTTAATAATTTATATAAAATTATGTGTAATTAAGTAATCCTATTTAGGGCAATTTAAGTAAATAAAATATTAATTAAAATCGTAGTGTAACAAGTAAGTTTTGTAGTAGTAATATAATTGCCCTTTAGATTATTCATAGAAGGTCTATATTACCCTTAATGAAATGAATTCTTTTATATTGCAAAATATATTCTTTTCTTTTTAGAATAGTTTTAAAACTAGTTTTATCTTGTATTTCTTTTATTTTGAATTTCAATATATAAATCCATTCTATGATCTACTAAATTAGAATAGCCTGTAATATGTTGTTCATATTTTTCTTTGAGTCTATTATATTACTCAGATAATATATTTATATTTTCTAGTTGAGAAGTAATATTTTTTATTTTTTCTAACGATCTTTCTAATAGATTATTTAATCCTTTAATTGTATATCCTACCATCTAATATATTAAATTATAAATATTAATGCAAACATTATGACAAATAATCTCTGCGATTCTTTAAGATTTTAGAAGAAATCTTTCCAAATTTAGTAAAAAATAATAGTTTTACCTTAGTTTTGATCTAGATCTTTAACCTTAGAGTCAAGTGAACTTCGAGCTCTGGATCTACAAATCATTCCCTTCAATGACTTTTTGCCTTTACGGGATTTTTGCTGTTCCAACTTCTTGCTCTCACTTTATTGTTTCTAATTATTAAAACTCTAAACTTTGATTAAAGAAAAACTCTCTTTGTTGCTAAAGTAAGAAAGAAATTTCCTATTAGATCTTTAAAAAATCTATGGGAAGAAAAATTTAAAAACCCATATTTTTTCGAAAGGATTGGAATTTTTTATTATATAAATTTTTGGAAATATTATATATGGCATTGATTCCAAGTGCTCTTCTATGCTTGATCCATGACTTGGTCACTTTTGGAGCTTTTTTATCATTTCCCATGACATCTATTTGGAAATTAGTTGCTACATATCCAATTGATATTATGTGTTCACTTGGAAAATATACAATTTCATCATATTCAGAACTTATTGAGTAGAATTTTAAATATATTCTTCTTCCTTTGACAAATTTTGAAACTTCTTTTATATAAAATATCATCAAATTTTGATATTTCCATAACAAAAATTTCTGGATATATCAAATCCAAGAATCCACAATCTGCAATTATTTTTATGAATGAAGGGTCTCCTCCTTCCATGGTCATAACCGTGGAGTAGACATTATTTCCTGGAGATATGAAACATTAATCACTGATTTTTATTTCATAAACGATCTGAACTATTTTGGCATACTCTTCTTCTTTTGAATCTAAAGGGGTATATCATCCTGGTCCATGATGCTGATAGTTTTGGAATCACTTCTACTTGAGTCGGCACATATCAACTTTTTTTAGTTGATGTAATTGGAAATGCATCTTCTTTTGTATCAGTTGGTATGTTGTCACGTCTGGTTCTAGCTGTCCCTGTTTGGTATTGATTTGGAAATCTCATTTCTGAGCTCTTTGATATATTTGTTTCAAACAGTATATTTTTTAGTTGTGCTGCAATAGCATCAACTTGATTTTTTTGTTCTATGGTTTCTTTATGTTGTTTGGTAGTGATATCGAACAATACTTTTATATTTGAGTTGCACATTTCTAAGATCTGTATTGCACCGATATCCATGTCTTCAGCTTCCTCTTTGAGGAAGTCAGACATTTTTTGTATATGTAGGACAGATTGATAAAATTCCATAACCTTGATTTTATCTATCAGCAAATTCTATGTTTTGGCTGAGAAAATCTACAAGATAATTATTAACTCCTTTAATATGAATTATATCAAAATTATAAAATGCCAAATAAGCTTGCCATTTATGGAGCCTCCTTTATTGAAGTTCTGATAGTAATTTATTCTTGACTAATCCTACAACTTGAGAATTATCAGTTTCAACAATAAATTTTTTAGATAATAGAAATAATGAAAACTTTTTTATTCCTCTAATAATTGCCAATAATTCTTTTTCATGAGTAGTATAATTTATTTCTGTTTGGTTAAAAAATTTATTTGAATATCTACATATCTCATTCAAATCTGTTTTTAATATTACTGCCCAATATTTATATGAAGCATCAGTATTAACAACTAAATTATCTTTTTCTTTTGGTATCTTAATTTTGGTAATTTTTTACATTCTTTTCTAAATTATTTAACTATTTATGTATGTTCTTCATTCCATCATTTAGTATTTATTTTTTTGACTAAAATCTGGATTTTATGTCTCTTTTTTGAAAAATTTTCAATAAATTCTTCTGCATAATATCAACATCCTAAAAACTTTTATATTTGTTCTTTTGATTCTAATTTATTTGGGAAACTTTCTATCTTTTTAGATATATGAAGTTGCAATTTTATTCCTTTTTTATCTATTGATAATCCAAGAAATTCAATTTCTTGTTTTTCTATTATAGCTTTCTTTTTAGAAAGAAAAATTAATTCCTTTCTACATTAATTCATAAATTGTATTAAATGATTTCTATGCTCTCCTCTATTATTGGAACATATTAATATATCATCAATATATACAATTAAAAATTCATTAAACTTTTTAAATATATTATCCATTTTTCTTTGATATATTTGTGGTGCATTTTTTAAACCAAAATGCATTACTATCCATTCATATTTTCTTTGAGGTGTACTAAATAATGTATATTGTATACTATCTTCTTCTATCTTGACTTGCCAAAATTCTGATTTACAATCAAATTTAGAATAATATTTCTTTTATTTTACAAGGTTTATTAAAACTTCTTTATTTGATAAAAAATATCCATCACATTTAGTATATTTATTTAATTCTTTATAATTTATTATCATTCTAGCTTTTCCTTTAATTTGCTCAGCATATTTCATGACCATAAAATCTGGACTACTATGGGGGTCCAATACTAGGTCTAATAAGTTTTTGTTCTAACAATTTTTTTGGCTTATTAGCATAAACCGTCCCTACGTTTGATAGTTAGTGTGCAAAATGTCCCAACGTTTCAATTTTTTGCATTTTTGCCCATATTTCAACGTTTCAGTGTGGAAAACATCCTTTTCACTATTTTTCAGTATAAAATGACCATTATACCCTCAAATTTAAATAAAACAAATAAAATGAAAAGAAATATAAAAAATAAATTGTAATTATACTCCCAAACTTTTTAAAAAGTGCAAGTGAGTCCAAAAGCCTTATTAAAAGGGTTAAGCACAAAACGTCCCTACGTTTGACACTTAATGCGGAAAACGTCCCTATGTTTCAAACATGTTTATATTTGCTCAATAACACAAAACGTCCCTACGTTTGACACTTATTGCGTAAAACGTCCTTACGTTTCATTTTTTTTTACATTTTCGTCCTTATTTCAACGTTTCATTGCGGAAAACGTCATTTTCACTATTTTTCAATGTAAAATGACAAATATACCATCATATTTAAATAAAACAAAAAAGGAAAATAAAAATAAAAATAAATTACAATTGTGCTCCCAAACTTTTCAAAAATTGCAAATGAGTTCAAAAATCTTATTAAAACATTCAAA